CAGTTTCCTGAAAGCTTGGCTGCAGCGCGAGGCACAGAGCCCCACAGCCCTGCGTGGGTGCCCACGTGGCAGAGCCAGCTTGCTTGTGACGCGGGTCTAGGGCTCTGTCCTGCAGACCCAGGCGTCCCCAGCCCAGCCGGAGAAGTCAGCTGTGTGTCTGCCTTGGGTGGCACAGGCCGTGTTTGGGAACGTGGGCTCCTCAGCAGCACGGGGCTGGGCGTGGGGCCTGCCGGAGGGCTTGGGACTCGATCTGGAGTGAGCCAGCTCCTCGGCAGACTTCCTTCCTCCTCCATGGCTCACACGGAGTTTCTTCTCTAGGTTGTTTTCCCTGCAGGTCCCCGTGCCGCCCAAGATTTTCCTGTCCATGGTGTATAAGCTGGAAGGGTCTTCGGACGTCAAGGTCGCTTTGGAACTTACCACAGGGGACACTGGGTGTGCCATTGACAACGTCTCCGTGCTGAGTGGTGAGGGCTGGGCTGGTGGCCGTGTGTACTGGGGAGTAGGGGAAGTCTAGAGGTCTGTGGCGGTGGGGGAGGGACGGGAGCTGGAGTGTATGGGGTCTGGTGAACCCCGCCTTCCATGGAGTCAGGGCAGCGTGGGGACTTCCTGCCCAGCCAGCCTTGTGACCCTGCCGGGCAACGGCAGCTCCCAGGGGAGCCGGATGCGGGCCTCCGGCTGGCTGTGGCATGGTAGAGGCCTGTAAGTTGGGAGAGGAGAGGGCAGAGGGGGAGAGGGAGCCTGGCCAGTCCCAGACACTTATCCCATTTGTGCCTGGTGGTCCCCAGCCGTCTATGACACCAGGGCTCCTGCTGGGACCCCAGGGTCCCCCCCACGTCCCTCCTGTGCTCTCCTTTGAGGTTCTCCTCTCAAGCCCCTTTCTTGTGCAGCAGAAGCTGGCTCCAGGCACAGCCCCCGGCCCCTCCGGGTGCCCCCCACCAAGCTGGCTAGATGGGTGGGCCGCTGTGGCCAGCAGCGCGGCGGAGGCTGGATCCAGCGGTGAGTCCCCTTCCCACCGGGTCGGAGTGGCTGGCCACACAGGAGGGGTGCTTGGAGGTGTCGGGCCCCTGCTGGGAATTTCTAGTACTCAGAGATAGGCTCTGAGCTTCCAGGTTTGGAAGCGCTCTGAGACACAGACCCGGGCCCAGGCCCAAGACACTCCCTGGGAGCATTTGAGGTCGTTGCAGGGACCTGATGTAGGCCTGGGCTTCCCCCGCTCCCCACCGAGCACATCCAGGTACCTCTGTGTCTCCCCCAGCTGCTATGAGGTGAGCCTGCGTGAGTGCCTCCTGCAGGACCTCTTCGTGAGCTTCTCCCGGACACGGGGCAGCCAGGAGGAGGAGAGCTTCGCCTGTCGCCTTGGGGAGATTCAGGTGTGTGTCCTGGCATGAGGGGCAGCCACCGAGGCTGGGGCGGGGCGTGGGGGGCCTGGGTCCCTCCCCCACCCATCTGGCCGTCTCTGAGCTTCTCTCTCGGGCAGGTGGTGGACGCCGAGAGCCTGCTGGCCCCTCTGCCCCAGGTGCAGGACGTGACCATCTCACAGGTCCGCTGGCTGCCACCGGCCTCCGGCTCCGAGGGCCCCCTGGCCGAGCTCCGGCTCAGCTGCACCCTACACTGGTCTTACCTCCTCCGCCACGCCCGGGGCTTCCGAATCCACTGGCGGCAGAGGACCAGGGGGGGTTCCCCCAGCCCGGAGAGGCCCACATTCCTGGGCCTGGCTTTTGCCGCCCAGTACCGGGTGGTGGACTTGCTGGTGGTGGCCACAGGGCCGGGCCAGGAGGGCCGGGTGGAATTCCTGGTGGAGCCTGTCCCCAGGGAAGGCTTTGTGGTGCCTCAGGCAGAATGGGGCAGGGCGGCCCTGGTCTATGCTGCGCCCTAGTCCGAGGGCCCCAAAGCATAGCGCCTCCTCACCTCCGATTGCCGCAGCTATGCAAGACCCCTGCCAAGTAAAGCCAGGGCCCCAGAAAACCCGTCTCCAGACCTTCCCTGTGGCTTTCTGCGCGGGTCAAGGAGCCGGCTGGTGGTGGCGGCTCTGGATAGGCGGGCCTCTGCACGCGCGCCCCACGCTGTGTGCTTCCCAGGGACAAAGGAGAGGGCTTGCGGGGGCTGCCTGGAGAACCCCACAGAGGGCACCCTGCGATAGGCTGGAAGATGCCCGTGCTATTCATTGGATGGCTTTTTAGAAACAAATTGATAGGAGAGCTCCCCAGCAGGCCAGGGGAAGTCTGAGAAGATGCAGTTCTCGGGGTGGCTAGGGGACCAGGTGCCCCGCCCGGCGGACGGGGAGCATCACAGCCCCCCTGTGCAGGGTGTGCCCGCCCTGGCCCAGACGCCGGGACCAGTAGCAGCTTTGGCGTCCTCCCCTCCCCCCTGTGGCTGGCCTTCCCCTGGGTGCCACTGGAGCCCCTTCCCGGCCTTTCTTCTGCCCCTGCTCTGCCCCACGGCTTCTGCAGAGGTCCTGCTGAGCCCTGGGTGGCCTGCCCCCCAACCCCCGCAATCTGTGGGTCTCTGGGCCTCCAGCAGTGCTCCAGCACCCCGCCCCCTCCCAGAATGGCTCACATGGCGTGAGGGTCTGAGGTGGCACGGGCAGCATCAAAGGCTGGGCGGGGGTGGGTCTCACCTCTGGGCCACATCGGCTCAGGCCTCTGTCCACTTCCTATGCCCCACGTGCTAAGCCCACCCGGAGCCCACCCCTCGGGGTCAGTCTGTGGACTGCGCCCTGCGCAGGGGACAGGCTGCCCGTGCTCGGGCAGCCATGCGCAGGGTGGGCGGGCTGTGTTCTCCTGAGAGCTGAGGGCCCAGTCTGGAGCCGCAGGTCTCCTGCAGGGCTCCGTTCCCCCACCTTCCCTGCTTCGGCAAGAGAATGTGACCTCAGGCTGGGCACATCCTAGGACCCAGGGCAGGGCCCTGCCCCTGCTGGCTGCTGACCACTGCAGGCCAAGCCCTGGCCCCCGCAGTCCCGGAGTGGCCAGCAGGCTCACCTTGGTGGCAGTCACCATACAAGCCAACGTCTCTGCTGTCTCAGAGCTTTGGCTTTCCTGCTAAACCTGCCCCAGAGCGCCAAGTCTCCCAGCTTGAGCGAGGGCAGGGCAGCCTGGCATCCGTGCCCACTTCCTTTGTTTCAGGATGTCTGTGTTTTAGTGCCAGCACCTCCAAATACTTTCTGCAGAGGAGGGAAAATTTATAGTGGCAATTATTTCCTCACAGTCTGGTGATCAAGCAATTAGAAGGAAAGGGGCCTAGCAGAGCGTGGCGTTTGGCCGAGAGCAGGGCCCAGTCCCAGCGGTGCAGGCTCCAGTGCGGGAAAATTAATCTGCCAGCGTTGAAGCCCGCGCCCCTCTGGTGGGTGTGATTACTCTGAAATAAATTACCCGACATGGTGAAAAATGAGAACCTGAGTCTTGGTGAGATCTGGCTCCCGGCCTCACCCCTGGCCCACAGTTCTGAGGCTCTTGGTTTCCTTGGGGCCCAGCCCAGCCCCCATCCAGCCTCCCTCCCTCCTCCACTGCCGCCTCACCCACCTCCCAGGGGCCGGAGAAGACCATGTACCTCCAGGCAACGCAAGTCTTCCAGCTTCTGCGGTGTGACCCTGGGCACCCCGTTCCACGGAGGCCCAGGAGAGGAGACCATGGCCAGAAGAGCCTGCGGTCTGGGCTTTAAATTCCCGCCCAGAGCGTGTTCTGCCCCCCCCCCCCCCCCCCGAGACACCTGGGCCTCAGCCCCCCCCCCCCCCAACGCTGTGCCTGGAGCTGCCAAATCAGAAAGAGCATTCCTGGCTTGAAGAAAGAAATCTTTATTAATAATCTTAATAATAATACTGTTGGTTTGAATGATCACACCTTGGAAGCATACAGAATGGTAAGAAAGGAAGCCTGGGGCTCGGCTGCAGTCCTGGGGGGAACAGGGCGGGGTCTGAGCTGCTGCAGGAAGAGGGTCCGAGACAGCAGGAGGCGCGGGCTCTACGGAGGACAGAGCCAGAGACAGGCGCGGGGCTGTGTACAACAGGAGTAGAAAAGGAGGGTTCCATTTCAATAGCTTCGGTAGCTGATGCTGCATATAAAGTGAGGTGTGTTTCTTTTTAGTTTTGAAGTTTCATGAGACAGCGGAGCCGTGTCGGGAGCCCATGGTTTCATGAAGTTTTTGCTGCAGCTAGCCCTGCCTTGCTGGGGCCCCTGCCTGCCACCCGGCCCCTGCTCCCTCTGCCTGCCCAGGGACCAGCTGGCGTCCAGCGGGCCTCCCGGGCGGCAGCGGGGCCGGCCCAGGCCTCCCCCATCCTTTGCTCTTGCCTGTGGCCATCCACAGCCATAGCACCACAACTTCCAGCCTGGATGCTGCCAGGTGCTGGCCTGTCCATCGCCGCCCCTGCTCCCCCGCAGGAGTGAGCCCCACGGGGAGGGCTGGCTCCCGGTGGGCGGCAGGAGGCTGGCCTTCAGCCCCACAGGTCCACAGGGCCCCCTCTGGGAAGGGAGATGGTGGCTAGGGGCAAGTCCTTTGCTTCAGGGCCCACCTGTCCACGCGTGTGGCATGGGCGGGTCCTGCTGAGCGGGCTTCCTTCACTCACGCTGGGGGGGCGAGGGGGGGCGGCAGGGCCAAGGGTGCCCTGGAGTTCTGGAGCCACGTCAGCCCTTGCATTGGAGGAGGACCCCAGGGCTGCTGGTTGGACGGCCAAGGGCGCGGGCAGCACGCGTGACCAGGCCTCGCTGGAGCCCTGGGGACAAGGCCCCTCCCCACACCCAACCCCTCGAGGGCCTGGCGCATCCCTTTCTGCGCAGCCGGGCTGCTGACCCTGAGTCCTGGGAGTGGGGGTGGGAAAGGAAGACTGGGTAGAAAGTGGAGTCCCCGCCCCGCCGTCTCTTCCACGCGCCCCCGCGGGCCACGCTCCCTCCGTGGGTGCCGGACCAGGACCTGGACGTGGTTGGATGCCTCTTGGTTTGGTTATTTTTGTTGTTGTTGTTGTTGTTGCTTGGATCTTTAACATCTTTTTTTTTTGTTGTTTTGTTTTGTTTTGTGATTTTTTTTTTGTTTTTTGTTTTGTTTTTACCCTTCATGGTCCAAGAAGGAAACGGTGGAAGGTTTCACTACAACAGAAACAGAAAGGCAGGACTTGCGGTTTCTCAGGAGCAGCTGCAGGTGGGGGGAGGGGGGGGCACATGACCACTGGCCCCAGCCTGGCCTGAAGTCCCACTGTCCCCTAGCTCCAGGCTTCTGGGACTCCACCATCTACTGCAAGCTAGATCTACAGCCACGCCCTCTTCCGGGATGGGTGTGGCTGAATGGAGGGAGATCTGTGGCCAGTCTGGATGCTGGGGGGGAGGGGGGAGGAAGGCAGCCTGGCCAGATGACTGGACCGGGCAGTAGGCGGGGCGTGGTCAGGCTGAGAGCATGGGCTTGGGTGAGAGGGGACATGCCCCTGGGTGACAGCCTTGCCCCTCCGACCCCTCCAGAGCGGCCTGCACCTCTCCCACGTGTGTCCCGGGGCCGACCCTTGGAGGAGCTGTCACCTGACCCGCCCACCCGCTAGTGGTCAAGTCCATGGGTCTCCTCTGGCCCTCCGCAGGGCTGGAGAGTTCCCACGGCCTCACAGCTCTGCACATCCCCTCTAGACGAGTCTGTGGTGGATCTGGGGGGGCCAAGGAAGGCATCACCCGCCCACTCCCATTTTCTGGAATGGACATTGGTATAAAGGTGCCTGGGGGCAGGGCATTTCTTTCCACACTTCTAATTCTCACCATGACATCCCCCCCCCCCCCAGTCCCCCAGCACCGTTTGCACATCAAGCAGCGTGTTTGTGACAACCAGGGCGGGAAACATTGTCAATAAAATTTAATCAGCAATAGGAGCTTCGGCTGAGTGGGGCCTGGGAGGGCGGAGGTGGTGACTGAGATCCCTGCGGAAGGTCGGACGGGAGCCTGTCCAGACTAGGACACCTGCCGACAAGAGAGGAGCCCTGGCTGCCTGCTGTATTGCTCGCTGCTCACCAGGCAGCTGAGCCCTGCAGGGGCTGGCTGAGGGGCCCTGGGGGCGGCCGGCTGGTGTCTGGGAGCTCCGCGGGGCCTGGCTGCCCTCCCAGCCTGCCCTGCTGTGTGTATACCATACCTGCAGAGGCTCGGGAAGTACAACATCAACAAAGCCAAGATAGGAAACCAAGGTTCAGACAGACAGGAAAAACCAGGGTCAAAGACACATACAGCGTCAGGGGCGGGGCGGAGGTAAAAAAACCAAAAATCTATGGAATTAGAGTCGCAGAGGGTCAGGGGTGCACTGTCCTCCCGGTGGCCGGGCCTGGTGTTTGGGCTGTAGGGTGTGGTTTGGATAGGCAGTAGTGTGAATGCTGTTAGGGGCGGGTCTCTTGCTAGTAGGGGGTGAACCGGCTGTACCCTCCTCGGCAGAGGCTAGCCTGCAACATCAAAGATGAAAAACAGCCAATCAGTACCGCCTATGGGTAGGGGGGAGAAAAAGCCAAAAGAAAAAGGGGGAAAAAAAAAAAGGGAAAACAGAAAAGAAATGGCTAAATCCCGCTTCCTTTTTCCCCTTCTAGGAGGTTCCTCAGGGAAGACTGGGCCTTGGTTGTCATGACAACAGGGTGGTGGGCCAGAGTGGAGCAGTGGGGGTGTGGGGAGGGGCGAGTAGGTAGGGGAGCCCTGGGGCCGTCAGCCAACAGGGCTCCTGGCACGGAAGCTTCTGAGCCATCTCTGGGCCGCGTCTTGGGACTCCTCCTGGAGAGCATCCCAGCGCAAGCCCCTTCTCCTCATCCAGGGATGCTGACCGGGTTTTTGAGGGCCGCTGGACCCACTCCCCTTCGGGGGGGAGGGGACACTCGTTCTGTAGCCCACCCTGTGTTCTCGAGGCCTCGAGGGGCCCTGCCAGGGAGCATGTGGGGTGCTCTCCTTCTCACACATCGCTGGGACACCCCCAGGCAGGGAGGAGCCATCGGATCCTCCTGCCCCGCCCACTAGTTTTGCCAGAAAATGGGGGAAAGATGGCAAATGCAAGAGAGGAAAAGTTGGGGCGGCAGGGTAGGAAATCTTAAAAGTCAGGAGTGCTGTCAGCTCAGGTGGCAGCTGGGGTGCCCAGGGGCCTGCGGCCTCCAGCCCCAACCTCAGCACCGCATGGAGAGGCTAGTCACGCCCCCGAGCCGCAGCCCCCTCCCCGAGCCTGCTCGGGGCATCTGCGGCTCGCTAAAAATTGAAAAGCAAAAGGAGGTGAGGCAAGATGATGAGGGAGCACTCCACACCGGGGGAGGGAAAAAATGCACAGGCCTCGTCACGGCCCCCGAAATGTTTTCATCTTTGATGCTGGATGCCAAGCTAGCTAAAAACAGACTGACACCCTGTGGGTAGGAGCAGGCACAAGGACCGGGTGTGCACTGGACGTAGATCTGGGGGTACAGAGGGGCTGGCCTGTGTGTGTCCAAAGCCGGTCATACACACACACGCACACACACATGCGCACACACATGCACGCCTGCACTGTCCAGCAGCGAGGCACCCCCCCCCCCAACTCCGTATTGTCCCTCTTTGACCCGCAGCAGCCGGGCAGGGCCCCTGAGGAGGAGGTACTCCCCGCCCCACATCAAGACCCTGGAGCCCCAAACGATGCCAGGACGACGGAGAGAAACAATGGGGAGCCCTGGCCCTCTCCCTGTGTGAGAATAGAGGGCGAGGGCTGGCTCAGACACGGCACAGAGGGGAAATCAGGTTACACCCGCCCAGTCTGCAGAGCGGCTGAGCCGGGGCCACAGGGTTTGGATAGGACTCTGGTCAAGGGCGCAGGAAGATGGGGGTCCCATGGGGGTGTTGCGTGGCTCATCATCTGGCCAGACCTGCCTCCCCTCCTTTTTCAAAAGAGAGGGGCGGAAGCCTCCCTCCCCCAGGACCCCTGTACAGCCACAAACCTTCCCAGCCTCCAGGGAGAGACCCCCTCTCTCCTGAGCACCTGACCCGCTCCCTGGCTGCAGCCAGCTCCCCATCTCTTCATCAGGGCCGGGAAGCGCCGCCTCCTTACCATGGTTCCAATGCTGTAGGTCGCTGTGGGGCCGATGGTGTGGTGGTAGGGGTCAGCAGCTGCATAGACTCTGCCATAACTATGGGAAGAGCGTGGGGGGAGGGCGCGGGCAGGTGAGGGGCGTGAACCCCCCTCCTCCCAGATCACCCCGCGCCGGCATTCATCCGGAGGGCCCAGCCGCGGGGCGCCTCCTTCCCTCACGCACAGTCTGTCCTTCCTGCCTGGAAGGAAGTTTCTGGAACCCTACAGGTCACCCTTTCAGTACACCCGGTGTAGGGGGCTGCATGTCCTGCTCAGAGCCTCATGGAGATTTTTTTTTTTCTTTTCTATTTTGGTACTGGGGATCGAACCCAGGATGTTGCACTTGCTAGGTAAGTGCTTTGCCACTGAGCTACATCCCAGCCCCATCATGGAGATCTTTACTGTGCAGCTCAGGAGGGGTCAGACTCCATGCGCAGAACGGCAAGGCTAGGGACCTTGGGGGCGGGGGAGGAATGCTGCCGCCGTGGTGTCCACTCAGGTTATTGTGCAGGGACAGCCTCCCAAGAGGACAGGACTGTAGAAGTGGAGGTGTGGCTCAAGTGGTAGAGGACCAGCCTTGACGGAAAACGCCAAGCAGAAGTGCAAGGCCCTGAGTTCAAGCCCCGGTTCCATCTCTCTCTCACATACACATCTACACACAAGGGGACAGGTTAGGTGTAGGACCCTGAGGACCACACACACACCTGGGAGGTGGCTCAAGGAGCAGGTCAGGTGTCCCTCGGGCCAGGGGGGCCATGTGGATGAGAGGGACACGCAGAGGGCTACAGCAGGGCCCAAAAGGTGCTAGGTCAGACACGAAGAGGAAAGGAAGCCAGTCACCACGGCCTTCCCCCGGGCCCTTGGAGTGGGGGCTGACCCCAGATGACACGCACGCACGCACGCACACACGCTCTGCCGACCCTGGTCCACCCTATCCCACAGGAGGGGGGGGGGATGGCCTTTCCTCCTCGGAGCTGTGGGGTTTCAGTCCAGCGAATGCTGTCTCTGGAGGTCAAGCTGAGGATCATAACTACTATGCGGGGTGTCAGACCTCAGGGTGGGAAATCACCAGCGGCTCCTGGGGGGCTCTCACCATTGCCCCCTCCCATAAGTAAGGAAATGACTGACGTTGGGCTCGTTGGTCCCAGGGTCTGAGCCCCACGTGGACCTGGCTCGGGAAGTCCTGAGTGGTGGACAGCACTTCCTGTCTCCGTGCCCAGCCCTCCGGGGACCCTGGACCAGCTCCCCACTGATGCCCAAGCCTCACCTGTCGCTGTAAGCGGCTGCTGCTGTGGGCTGAGCGTATCTGTAGGCTGCGTAGCCTCCCTGCAGAATGGGTGGGAAGGAGAGACGGCAGACAGACTCAGTGGGGCCGGCCCAGGGAGAGATTGGGTCAGGAAGACGGGGCGGACACAGGTAAGGTTTAGGTGTTGCCTGACCTGGGCACCTGGCTTCTGGTCTGAGGAACTGTCTAATGGCATGGCTCGAAGGAGGGGCTGCAGCTCATGTCTTTCACACATTCACCCATTCACACATTCTTAGGACCATTTGCACATTTGGCAGACACTAGTGGGTACCCATTCTACCTCTGCCAGTGTGCTGGTTCTTGGCACATGGTAGATGCCCCAAGACCCACCAACAGGTCAGCAACCCCAGACAGGCAAGGAGAATCCAGGGGTGATTCTGGACCCTGGGAAGGGTTAGGCCAGAGGGCTTCCTCAGGCACCCTAGATGTGTTGGCCTTAGATTAGAGGCAGGGAGGGTGGGGGGAGAATAGCTGAATTTCAGATGGCTGACCAGGACTTAGGTATGGCCGTGGGATCACTGAGGAGGGGCTCAGAGCCTTGGGAGGCAGAAAGGAGGGCGGAGACACAGGAGCCTGAGACCTTGCGGGGGGGTCTGCCTCTGGTTGCTCTCCGGGCCTCTACACTGGACAGCTGTGTGTTTAGGGGCTCACGTGTCCCACCATAGGGTGGTTGGGTGTGGGAGAGCTTCCCACTGCCCCCACCATACATAACCTTGCGAACCGGACCTCATAGGACCACTGGGAGGTGGATTTAGCACTCCCTCAATGAGCACAGGTAACCTAGACCGGGCTGTGCTGGGGTCTCCTGTGCTCTGCTTGTGCAGCCTGCTGCCCTGGATTCCTGGGTCCCAAGGGTGGGAGGAGGTAAGGCCTTGAGGGGAGACACTGACTTCTCATGGAGACAAAAAAAAATTGTTCCTGACTCCCTCCCCTTCTCCAGGGCTACACTTACATAAATCTCAGCACCATAAAATCCATCCTGATACACGACCCTGGAAGCAAACGGACAAGAGAGTGGTGGGCACGCTGGAGAGGCGGGGTAGGCCGGCTCCGGAGGCTGCTGAGGGGGGGGGCACGGCGCCAGCCCCGCCCACGGGACTGGCATTTTAACAAGCGTTTGCTCCAGTGCCCTGTTTGGTATAACAATAGAGTAACACCCTTGCTGATCGGCTCCTTTCTCCCCAAACCCAGGGGGCCCCTCGGTCCAACTTGTAAGCCCTCGCCCACCCCCACCCTCCCAGGCAGCTGACCCCCTTCAGGGGTGGATGGCCGTGCGCCCTGGGGAAAAGGCCCAGCGGGGGCTCCCAGAAGCCCCTCATTGGACCTAAGGGAGGACAATGCCCCTGTTTAGCATCTGGACCAGATGAGTTCTGGAGTTCCCTCCCTGCCCCAGCTACTGAAAAGTCTGCCCGGACCGCCCTCCCCTTTCCCCTTCCCCTTCCCCACCCCCACCCCAGGGGTCTTCATCCAGCCTCTCCCCCTCCAGGTACTCACGCTCCGTAAGTTGGGATGGGAGGAGGAGGTGGTGCAGCTCGAAACGTATTATACACGGCCCGGCCCCGGCCCCGAAGGTGCGCGCCCCGGTAGGCAACTGCTGTGCCCGTGGTTGGGTAGGGGAAGCCGGTCACTGCATGGAAGGGGAGACAGAGAGGAGCTGGAGGAGGGAAGGGCACAGACAGTGGGCCTCGCCCGTCCCACCCCTGCTACTTCCCCATTCCACCTGTTCCAGCACCCCCATCTTTACCTGCATAGAATTCAGGCCCGTAGACGGCACCGACCACCGGGTTGAGCTTCCAGCCTGGGACGGAAACAGGGCACTCACTGGCTTTCTCAAGCCTTTTCCTAGCTCATCTTGGGCCTGGGCCTCCCCCTCCCCCCCCCCCCCCCGCCTCCTCTGTGGCCCCCCCTCCCCCCCGGTCCATAGGCAGGGTCATGCCCACTGGGACATCCCAAGGCCTTTGCAGAGGGCTGAGGTGGGGGAGGCCAGGTGCTCAGCCCAGTTTGGACGCTGCAACCCCCCATGGCTGGAACAGCAGGGCCAATTCACTCCTCTCCCGTCCCTAGGCTCCCCTCTGTCCTGTTCTTCCCACCCAGAACACCAAGGAGAGTCCCAAACATCCAGTCTGTCTTGAAGATCTCTCCCCATCTCCTGCCTCAGTCTTCCTCCCATTCCAAGTTCCTGGGGTGCCCCCTGTCCTAGCTTCCCCTGCTTCCCCTGTGGTCCCATGGTGGTCTTCCCAGAGGAGGGAGAAAGGGCCACCGGATTGGAGATAAGAGCCATGACAGCTGATAGTTCCTGCGTCCTCTGTGCTGCCACACGTAGGTCCCAAACCCATGGGGTCCTCACCCCCAGAAGCGGACGACGGCACACCCTTCCACTTCACCCACAGAGAGACAGAGGCAGGGCAGAGGCTGGAACTTTGGGACACAAGGACCTGAGCCCGCAGCCTCAGGCAGTCCCCGAGCCCCGCGGTGCCTCGGCCTTCCTGCACGGAGGGGTGTGTGCGGGGGCCCCTTCTCCCATGGGGGACCCAGGAGCGCAGGCAGACTCAGCCTTTCTATGGAAAGCAGCTTGCTTTCCCGTGTTCCGACAGCACGAACAGCCAGGGCTCAGCTCCCTGCTCAGCTCCCCCACCCCACGGCTGTCCTGTCTGTGCCCCTTCTGTCCGTCTGCACTGCGAGGAGGGACAGAGGGGACCTGGGTCAACTTGGGAGAGGGTGACAGCCAGATCATCCAGTGCCCAGGCCTGTCCCGCCCCGGGGCAAACTCCACCCTTGTCTCCCATCACCACATCTGAACGTCAGGGATGGGACTCTGGAATTTTCCATCCATCTGAGGGTAGGAGGGAAGAAGTGTTTCATCTGGAAAAACCTCCAAACCTCCCCCTCTTCCCCCCTCCCCCCCCCCCCCCCCCCCCGCCAGACCTTTCTTAGCAAAATGTGCCCAACGGAGCAGAGAGGCCTGGGGCTGACCTGGGGCCTGTGTTCCCCAGGCTCCACCCCAACGGCACCCCCCCCCCCCCCACCGGACCCCTCCTGGATGAAAGATCCTTCCAGGCTGGTGTCTGCCCCCCAGATCAGAGCCCTTTTTCCTGTTTCTCTGGCTTCCCGATGGCCCCTAACATGCTTCTGGCTTTCTGGATGCCTCCAGCAGTCACAGAGCTGCCCGAGAGCCACCCCCTGGGTGGTCCTTTGTTTCTCCTCTAAATAGAGACACTGACCCGGTGGGCTTGCTTCCTGCAGTGGTGAGTCCACCTTGAGTGACAAATGCCATGATTCTCAAGGTTAACACACCCTGGGGCCGCTCTAGATCAGCCTGCAGGGAACACAGGCTGTCCCTTTGCAGCTTTGCAATTCTCTGTCTTTTTCTCTCTTTACACTGGGGCTTGAACTCAGGGTCTACTGCGCGCTGTCCCTGAACTTTTTGCTTAAGGGTGGTGCTCTACTACTTGAGCCACAGCTATACTTCCAGCTTTTTGGTGATTAATTGGAGATAAAAGTCTCCTGGACTCTCCTGCCCTGGCTAGCTTCAAACCTCCACCCTCAGACCTTCATCTTCTGAGTGGCTAGGATGACAGGTGTGAGCCACAGGCATCTGGCCGCTTTGTGTCTCTTGCCCTGGCCAGTGGAGGCCTTTAAGGGACACTGCACCAGAAGCAGGGGCAGGCAGGACCCTGCATCTGGCCTGCACTGGTGGCCGGCCCCCTGGGGGGCAGCGTAGAACACAGCTGGTCGGCGCTGGGCTCCTTTCTGCACAACACACCCCTCATTCTCCAGTTCTGCCCAGAAAGGGCTGGCACAAGCAAGGCTCCTGGGCTGGGGGGAGCAGCAGGCTCCTCGGCAGCATCTGCAGCCGACACCTGGATGTGCAGAGGGACCTGAGGGACCTTTGGGGGCCTGTTTTGCAGGAGGCCCACGCTCTTCCTTCCCCTGCTCTCCTAGCCTAGGTTTCAAATAGAGAGTTACTAGGGACACCCAGGACACCGTAGCTAGCATTCACACTGGCCCAGTCATCCAGCCATCCACATCAGACCTCCGAACAAGGCACCCCGTGGGGCCGGGTTCAAGTTCTCTAGGGGTTTGGTCCACGAGCCCAGGAGGCGGGGCTTTACTGGACTTAACGTGGATGCAGCACGTGAAGACGTGGTAGCTGACAAGCTGCTCCTCTGGGGGTGGGGTCACTCACACCACTGGAACCCACACGGGTCACTTGCTGGGCTGGGCTCCGGGACACAGGGGCTGTGGCCTTGTGAGGGCTCCCACCACACTGCCCACAGGTTAAACACAGCCGCCCACAAGTCCCGCGTCCTGTCCACCCGACGGGAAAGTCTACTGCGTTCCCTTCCCCTTCCAGAGCCGGGTTCCGGCAGCTACAGCCAGGAAGTGCTCGGGGTGCTGACAAGCGGCCACGAGTTTTCAGAAAGATTGGAGAAATCTGAGTTCTCACAGGAGTGGGAGGTGCGTGCACGCAATATTCCAGCCCGAGCCTCTGCACGGACACCTGCAGGAGCTCAGATTGCACGGCCAATCGGCCCCGGCTCCCGCGGCGGACTTGGGCAGTAGTGGGGCCACACGCACAGCTGGGAGCGTACAGGGACCGGAGAGGCAGACCTCGTGCCCACCTGAGGACAGGTGGCCCGCAAAGGCCCGTCCTGCAGTGGTGGTCAGTGCTGACAGCCCCCTAGCAGGAGCAGAGAGGGCCGCAGGTGCCAGCTGAGCTACAGCAGCCCACACAGTGGCCCGGTGATCTGCCCTCAGCCAGCACCTGACACCAGCAGACTCCCCTGGCAGGTGCACACACAGGGGGCCAGTGCCCCCACCACCCCTGTTCTTTACAATAGCACCCTCGCTCACTCAACACCAAGCACCCAGCACTGAGAGGTATTATTTGTCATTACACAGCTCCTGGGTGGTGGATGCCATATTCCTAGACAGGAAGCCTTGAACGAGCACAAGGGATGACCAGGGGGTCTCTGCTGCCCCTGCCCCCAGCTAGTCCCTGTACACATGGGGGATCTATACTCTGTGGGTGCTCTTGTGAGAGCACTGGCCATGAGGGGGCTCTGTGTTAGCTGACCGCCTCCTCCTGAGTGGACAGGAACAGGAAGGCTGGGATAGCAAGCAGGGCGGAGGGATTTAGCAGGCAGGAAAGCTGGCCTGCAGAACCCTTTGCTCCCCTGAGCTGTCCAGCCACGCTCCTGCAGCCCACAGGAGAACCCTTGGCTCCTTACCATTGGTGTAGGGGTTGCCCGTCTTCTTGTTGGTCATGACTCTGGCGGTGGCATTATTGACCTGTCCAGAGAAGGAAAGAGAAAAGGAGGGCGTGCTTGTTCCTTGCAGGCCAGGTGGCCATCCCAGTCCTGCCCGTGTTTCCCAGAGGCCCTGGGAGGGATGTTTCCAGGACCCAGGCTGCTGTCCAGCCTGGCCAGATCCCTTCAACCCAGATCGCTGGCTTGTGCTCGGCACAGGCCATCACAACAGCAACCCAGCCCCTACTACAGCCCTTAGGCAGAGCACTGTTCGCGAAGTGTTTCTGGGGCCAGTCAACAGAGACCCTCCTGGGACCCTCAGAGCAGAGCACCCCTTTTCCCCCTAGGATTGGGGGCTTCGGCATCTCCACACAGTAGGGGGGGGGCCTGTATGGTCAAGATAGATCCAAGTCTTTTCCAGACTTGTAAGTCAGATTGCCCAGGGGACACAAAGGACAGAGGACATGTGGGAGGGAGGAGGGCAGGGAGTGCTGGACACAGGGGTCTAGGCTGTGGCCCTCAGGGCCCACGGGGCACTGGGCCGGGTCGGTGGACTTTGGAATGCCTTTAGCATCTTAAACCTCCTCCTTCCCCCCAAACCCCGCCCCGAGGCTGAACCTGCACCTGCTGGAGACCCAGCCCTGGGACTCAGAGCCACACACCACACGGGGTGGGGGCAAGGAGAGGGAGAGGAGGAGCAGAGGCTCTGGGCAGGCCCCGCCCCATCTTCTTGCTGCCCTCTGACCACTTGCTGGTATGGAGCAGAGGCCGGGAGTGAAAGAGGAGGGGACCAAGGGGGCAAAGTGTGGGCACTGGGCAGTGTGGTTGGTGGCAGTCAGCCTCAGTACCCTCGTAAGAGGGGCCAGCCCCTCCCCCGTGGAGGACAGCCAGAACTGGCTGTGGCCTTTGAATGGGCCAGGCCTCAAACACACAATCTCTGAGCCTGCTCCGTGTCTGGGCAGGGACAGGGCCGCTCGAGGGGTGGAGGGCAGAGGTGGACCTCGGGTGAGTCAGGTGCTGGCCGCAGCCATAGCTCATGGGTGTGCGTGGGTGAGGTGACCCGTCCTCCCGCCGTGGGAGGCCCCGGCGGGCTGTCTGCGGGGTGGACCCTGGTGGGCCGATGGGGGACCCAGGGTGACAGACAGGTGCCACCCAGGACTCCCTGCCGCCACACACTTATCTGAGCACCTCAATTTTCCGTCCCTCTACGATCGTGCCATTCAGCTTCTCCCGGGCTCGGTCAGCATCTGAGCTAGTTTCAAAAGTTACAAACCCAAAACCCTGTGAGCAGAGGACAGACACGAGAAGACAGGATGAGGAGGAGGGTACACAGGAGGAGAGGGGGGAGTGGGGGGGGCATAGGGAGGGGCAGGGAAGGGGGGGGGAGAGAGAGAGAGAGAGAGAAGGGGTCCAGTCAGGTGAGTGAAGGAGAGCTCCATGAAGCCAGAGGGGTGCCCGGGGTGGGGACCCTGGATGCGGGGGTGGGGGGGGTGGGAGGTGGACCCCAGGTGGGGGCAGCTGTGAGCCCAGCCTGGGCCCAGCCTGACCTAGCACCTCCAGGGCACAGGCCTGAAGAGATGCTGACCCGGCCTCAGGATGGGGGCCGAGGCTGGGCATCAAGACATGCTGGAGGGCCGCAGCCCCACCCACCTTCGCCCTAGGAGCCCGGGGTGGGAGGGTTCGCCTTCCTGGAGGGGGCGGGGCCGGGCTGGCGTTGGCTGGGACCCTCCGGCCTGCCCACCCTGCACCCCTCCCCCAAGCCTCCAGGTCCTGGGGTGAGTGGCCGGGTGGGGGGCAGGGGCCCAGGCCCAGGCCCTAGCAGCTCAGAGAGAAAAGGCAGCTTGGCGGCAACAGCACAGGCAGCTGGGGGCGGGGCGGGAGAGCGGGGAGTACAAGCACCCGTGTTGCTCAGGGTCCTCGGGCGCGGAGCTCTCCAGGAAGGAAACGCACGTTTCACAGGTTAGCCTGGCGGGACCTAGAGCCGGCGCTGTAATGGTGGCGGCCTCTGCACGGCACCCACCTTGGAGCCTCGCTCGTTAAAAATGATCTCCACGTCTAAAATTTTCCCGAATTGCTGCAGAGAGACAGAGGAAGAGAGAAAGAAGAGAGAGAGGAGAGGAGAGAGGAGAAGAGAGGAGGGAGAGAGAGCGGGGAGAGAGGGGGGAAGGAGGGAGGGAGGGAAGGAGGAGAGAGTGGGTTAAGACAGTGGTCTGTCCATTCCACTCCTGAGCCTAGCCCAGGCCCAGGGAAGTCCTCGTGCTCCTGGCGTGCTACGGGAGGGGAGACCCCCTTGCTTGGCTTCTCCTGGAGGCCTGTGCCTTTCTCTGTAAGGGGCATTTTCTGCCAGCACGCTGGCTGGGTGGGGGAGTGGGAGGGTGACCCAGCACAAGGCTCCCAGGGACTTGGCATGGAGGGATGGAATGCCCAAGGTGTCCCCCCCTCCCCACAGTCCACACTAACGGGTGAAGGTTTCCCGGAAGGAAGTCTGTCTACAGAGGCTGTGGACAGGTCGAGGAAGGGTATGACCTGGGCCAGGGAGGACCCGGGGCCCCTGCACGGCTGCCCTGTGCTGAAGGGGGCCAGGCGGTGTGGCCGGAAGCCAGGCCCTCCTGTGGTACAGGACAAGGCAGGCGGCCTGGTTGGGATTCTCTGGCCTGTTTCCTGTCTGCTCTTTGGCTGCCCAGGGTCCTTCACTGACACGCGAGGCCACAAACCTGCGAACCAGTCCTTGAGCCTCCCTTCCCCGGGCCTCGTTCTCCTGCAGCCTCCTGTGCGGGCAACTACAGGGAGTCCCCTTCACCTCGCTCACCCCTGAGACAGCGTAAGGGGACCTGGGGAGCAGGAGCCACGCAGCAAGGCTCCCCGGGCCTCACTTCCCCTGCACAGGGCCCCAGGGACCTGACACAGGCTGGTGCCCCCCTGCCCCGCAGGTGCTTAGGGAGCAGCTCAAGGACACGGATCGGTGAGCGCCCACTGCTGCCTTAAGGGAGCCCTGGCCCAGGCGTCCGGCAGCCTTCCCAGGTCTCAGGACCCAGCGGGCTCGGCCTCTGTGGCATCTCGTGGTTCTAGCTCCTGCCCCATCCCGTGAGTCTGAGCCTCACATCCAGGGAGGCCTGTCCTATGATGGGCAGTGGGTTTCTGGGACGGACACCCACCCTGGCGCTGCCCTGCAGGGACTCTGGATTGCCTGACACCTCCCAGCTGTGTGGGAGAGGGCGAGAGGGTGCTGGGGCTTAGGAGGGCCTGAGCTGCCCAGCTGTGCGGCAGGCGGGGGGGGGGGGGGGGCAGTGGCAGGCGTTGGGGAGCGGGGAATGGATGGGAAGGAGAGCCCTGGCCAGATCAGAAGGTCCCATAGCCAGGGCGGGCCCAGGAGGTGGAGGCTGAACCTAGGGGTTCAAATCCCACGTCAGGGCCCAGGGAAGCCCCGTGGCTTCTTGCAAGGACACTGCACCTTGCTAAAACCCTCAGGTGCAAAAATCCAGGGAGGGAACCCTTGCTTCTGGGGTTCCCATCAACGCATTTCCCCTGAGGAACCGGGCAAGGCCGGAGGCCGGGCTGCCTCTCCAGGAGCCTTCTGCCAGAAATGGGGGCGGGGACCAGAGGTTGTCACCTAACTGGCTGTCAGGGTCAGGGTCCTCTGAGGACAGCGGGGCTCAGAAGCAGCCATGACGGACCTTAGGGTCTCTCTTGCGGCTCCCTCGTACACGTTAAGGTGAGACCCCCCACGGGAAGGAATCTCGGGGGTCTCCTGCACCAAGAGGGGAGCCACCGGGGCTACGTGTGGGGCGGGGACAAGAGGGCTGGTCGCGCACACTCACCCCGAACATTTGCCGCAGGTCGGGGTCCCTGAACCGGAAGGGGATGTTGGAGACGTGTAGCCGCTTGGGCTGCTGCTTCTCCGTGGGGTCGGAGGGGTGGAGTGGCTGGCTGTCCGTCTGTGCCGCTTCGTCTGTCTGCTGTGGGCGAGGATGGGGCTGGAGCACTGCCCCAGGCTGGGGGGCTGCCCTCCCCCTCCCCACGGGCCTGGAGAACCCGGCCGACCTCCCCCACGGGCCCGGGATCCCAGGAAAACCCAGCCAACCACCCCCGTGGGCACAGCTCCAGAGTCCCACCAGGGAGCCCTTGCCAGATGTATCATGAGGCCACACCCCTCCGGCCAGCCAGGGCAAGGCCTGGCCTCCCTGGGAGTGTACTGTGAACTCCCTCAGCTCAGGCTTGTCCATGCCACTCCAACCTCGGGGGCCTCTCCGCAGAGACACTGCCACTGTTAATCAGGAGGTTTGCATTGTTGTTGTTGGTCGTGGGGCTTGAACTCTGGGCTTGGGCGCTGACCCTGAGATTTTTCTGCTCAAAGCTAGGGCTCTACCATTTTGAGCCATAGCACCGCGTTTGCTTTTCTGGTGGTTCACTGGAGATGAGAGTCTTACCGACTCTCCTGCCCCAGCTGGCTCTCAAACTCCTGAGGAGTTGGGATAAGCGGTATGAGACACCACCGCTGCCGCCGCTGCTTTCTTCCTTTTCCTCCTCCTCCTTTTTCCTTTCCTTTTCCTTCTCCTTCTTCTTCCTCCCCCTTCTTCCTCCTCCTTTTTTTCTTTTCAGTACTGGGTACTGGGGCTTGAACTCAGGGCCTGAGTACTGTCTCTTTGATCAAGGCTAGCCATCTACTACTTGAAACACAGCTCCATTTCTTGCCTTTGGAGACACAGCTCCATTTCCTTCCTTTTGTTGGTTAATTGGAGATGAGTTGGTTTTGAATCTTGATCCTCAGATCTCAGTGAGTGAGCCACCAGCACCTGGCAATTTTTCTTTTTTGGTGGTCATAGGGCTTGAACTCAGGGCCTGGGCTCTGTCCCTGAGCTCTTTTGCGCAAGGTGAGTATTCTACCACTTTGAGCCACAGCACCACTTCCGGTTTCCTGGTGGATAAATGGAATTAGGTCTCATGGACTTTCCTGCTAGTTGGCTTTGGACCAAGAGCCTCAGACCTCAGCCTCCCGAGGACTAGGCCACCAGCATCTACAGGGGCCACCTCCAGAGGCCTGCCTACAGCCTGGGTGGCCGAGGGGAGCCCTACAGAGCCTGTCCTCGTTTAGACCCGCACACTGGCCAGCCGTTGGCTCGGAAGGATTTGGATTTCAGAAAGCAAAGCTGCCGGCAGGCAGGTCCTCCCCGCTCAGCTGCCGGTGGGAAGGCTGGGGGCCCCGCAGTGTGCGCAAGGCTCTGCTTGCGTGGATGTGTCTAATGGGTGGCCTGTGAGCTCCCTGCAGGGTAGGTCCCCAGCCTCACAGCGACAGGAGCGGACTGGGCATCCACTGCTTCACCGCTGGCTGGGGAGCGGATGGCTGCCCAAGGAGTCCTGGCCTGAGGCCTTCCAGGCGCCGGTCAAGTTCATGCTCAGACTGCAGCGGGCCAGCAGCCTGTGCCGTGCTCGACCGGGCACAGTCCAAGGCCAGGGAGCAGGAAGCACGGGTGTGCTGTCGCCCGGAAGGGGCGCTTTGCAGCGGTAGTCAGGAGAGAGCAGAGGGGTTCGCCGTGCCCGGCTCCCCCACGGGGTGCGTCTCAGCAGCGTGGGGCCGACAGGCCGGGAACACGCCTTCTGTCAACCTGCTCCCCTTTCCATCCAGTGTCCTGCTGCCCGGGAGGCTTGGGAGGGACGGAGCGCCTCCCTCAAACCCTGATCTCAGGGTTCTGCTTCTGAAAACGAGACGCGGGCATGATGGCGGCTCGGGTGGCCTGGGTGTGTTGTGAGCACAGGCGGAGGCCAGGTGGCGGTGCTGGTGGCTGTGGTCTGGGGCGTGGCCTGAGGAGCAGCAGCAGCTGCAGGGCCGTGAGGGGAGAGAAGGTGGGGTGAGTGACATGGGAAGGGCGCAGGCTCCAGGAGGGGAATGGCCGCTCAGGCCACGTCAGGGTGGCGTCCACTGCTGGAGTCAGGAGTGCTGATGGGCGCAGGTCTCTCAGAGTCATGGGCGTGTGTATGCGTGTGTGTGTGTGTGTGTGTGTGTGTGTGTGTGTGTGTGTGTGTGTGGCATTCCCCAAGGAGACTCCAAGAAGCAGAGCTGGCATAACAGCCTCTTTCCTAGGCCGCACTCTGGCTAAGGCTTTCTCCTTCCCCTTCTGAAAGGTTGGGTCACTGGGTGCACATCCTGGGCTCAGCCGAGGGGCTCCAACCCAGGCTCCGTTCCCGGGTTCCAGGGCAGCAGTTTTCTTGTAGGTGACCAGAGGAGACATCCTTATGTCCTGGGCTGTCCAGGGCCTGGGCCTGGCTGGGGGGGGAGGTCAGTGGCCAGCTAGAGTGGGGGCAGGAAGCCCTTGGAGGGGTGTATGGCATCCTAAGCGTTCCCCAGATGCCACCCTAACTTGCTGTGTGGGAGGTGTGCATCTGGGGTGTGGGAAGCCACTGTCTTCGTTCTCCCGGATGGCCCGTGGCCTGTCGCAGCAGACCCGCCATGCTTAGCGTCGCCAAGTCTGACACAGGCACACCTGTCCCCTGAGCCCCCCGTTGTGGGGCTGCAGGCATAGCCAGGGCCTTGCCAGTGCCCTCCAAAGGCAAGGACCTCAGGCTTCATCAGTTTCTGGGGTCTGCCAGACGTCACCCCGGGAACCCACGGATGGGGGCTGGGCTTGAGAGAGGAAGACACGGGGGGCAGAGAACCTCTGCAGGCTCCTGAGCCTGCTGCTCTGTCCTGCATCCGACGCTGACCTCTGTCAAGCAGCCCCGCACAGCCTGGGGCCCGGGCGTGGCTGGTCATCCCGCTGGTGCCCGGGCGTGGCCGGTCACCCCGCTTCCCAGTTCTGCTTGCTCCTCTTCCAGTGCTCGCTGCCGAGGGAGAGCCCAGGCTGGACTCCAGAGCCGAGGCAAAGCTGCCCATGCGGCCTGCGATCCTTGCGTAGGTCCGTGCTCTACTCTCTGGCCGTAGAAGGTGAGGCTCCTTCCTCTTCCCCTACGTGTGGGTGCAGCGTTACCCACCCTCCCTGGGCACGCACGGCACACCGGTACGATCAGCCTCTGATTGAGTCATCCTGGCTTAGGGACTCCAGCTTCCTTAGGGTCATGCAATACTGGCTTCTGAGCAGCAGAGGGCGGTGGTCAGTGGGCCCAGTGGCCAGGAGAACCCACGGTCGCCACAGGGCAGGGAGGGGCCGCGGGATGATCCCCGATGAAAGGGGATGGGGCTTTGGGAGCTCAGGACCCAGTGCAGCGGAGAGCGAGGGAAAAGGGGGGGTGTGTGCGTGGGCTGAGCCACGAGGCGGGGGGACACAGGACGGACGTGTCCCCCTGCTTCCCCGGCCCAGCTCGGCTGTGGACAGAGGCAGATAAATGGGTTCAGTGACTGTAAAATTGTAAGATGTGCTGAGAAACCCCAGAGCGTAACTGCACGCCGCTGGCCCTGTGTGGGGACAAGCCTGCCTACCATTTATCACAGTGGCTCAGGTGGCCTCTCCATTCTTCCCAGGGGCTTGCTTTCTTTGCTTTTTTTTTTTTCTTCCCTGAAAGCAATCATTGCTTCCAGTTCTCATATGCAGGGGAATAAAAGGAAGTGGCAGCCACAGCACCCCTCCCTTCCCCCTTCCCTTCCCCGCAGGTCCTGGTGGATTGGCTCGGGTATCCTGCCCCAGCCTCTATAGACAACCCTCCTCCCCTCCTGCCTCCGCTCACTCGGGGTCAGAAGCCAGCTCCCGAGGTGGGGCCACAGGAGCCTCCCAGCTCACCCTCCAAGGAGAGTATCTGGGCCTGTCCAGTTTAGTGCAGACAGGCAACAGGTCTCCTGGGCAGGCCAGTGGGTCCCAGGCAGCCAGCAGGCCCTGGCCCTCCCATCTCTGGGCCCGAGCCGGGCCTGGCAGGTGTGGGATGAGCTGAAGTGTCTGTAGGGTTCTTTCTCTGCAATCCCATCTCCAGTTCTCTTGGTCCTCCGAGGCCAGGGACCTGGCTGTCATCCGGGGGTGGGGGTGGCCAGGGGCTCAGAAGGGGGTCTCTGCGTGTGGCACCTGGGGGTGCTGGGCTGGGGGAGACCCCCACTCAGCAGCTCCCAGCACTGGCGGGGTCTGCGGCGCCCACCAGCCCAGGGGACATGTCGCACCACAGAGACTGTGGCCTGGTTTGGGGGTCGATAATTCTTTCCTTCTGCTTTTTCCTGCCCTAGTCCACCCTGACTTTGAGGGCTGAGGAGTCTGGGATCTGAGGCTGCAGCATGCTCGGGGTGCGGTGGTGTGACAGGGAGAGCCCTGCCCCTGCCCCGTATCTGTGCTGATGTTGGTCTCCCAAGAAGTGAGACTTGAGATTCACAGCAGGACCTCTGGGTCCTGGAACCTTCCTTTCTCCAGCCAACCAAGACCAGCCCCAGCAGGGGAGGCTCCATGTGTGGAGACACAGCTGTCCCAGGGAATGACCGCAGCCAAGGCCATGGGGGGGGCGGGGCAGGGGTTTAGGACCCACCCTGGAGCTGTGAAGATCAGCACCAGCACAGCCTCCCGGGGGTCCGTGGGGTTCCAGCCTCTGTGGGTCACAGGGGGTCAGTGGTGGTCACCCCCTGGGTTTCTTCCACCCCACCCCCCAGCGATAGCTGTGCCTCAGCTACCTGGGGTCTTTGAGCATCTCATTTTGGCAGTGGGGTTGGTCAGGAAAAGGTTCTGAGCAAGGCGAGACAGGAATCCTCTCAATTCCTGGCTGGAAGCTCTCCCAGGGGAGGAAAAAGGGGCTGCTGGAGCAAGGCCGATCATGCAGGACAGTTTGCCTGAGCCAGGACCAGTGTCTTCAGGACGGTCGGGGGAGAGGAGCAGATGTATAAGCTACAGGAGCCAAGACTCCCTCTCAGCCTCCAGCCTCAGGCCTGAAGACAAAGCAGGCGGCCTGGGCCACCCCCGGGTCTGGGCAGAGCCAGCTTGGCGGTGGCGGCCACTGGGGACGGGACATCTCTCTGTCCCTGGTCGACCTCCCACCAGGGCAGGTGGGCACACACAGGAGGAAACCCCTTGGGATGGGGTGAGCCCACTGGGCCATGAAGTACTTGGGCTATGGGGGAGGGGGGAGGTCAGGGCTGCAGGCCAGACCTGTGCTGACAGCCAGCACCCAACGTGACCTGGGGTGTGTGTGGGGGAGCGGTACCCTGGATGGTGGGGGAAGAAGAGCCTGGGTTAGGAGAAGCCAGGTCTAGAACAGCGCTGGGAGCCCACCCCGCCTGCATTCTGTGCCCCTTCATTCGAACCCCAGGCTGCTTGGGGAAAGGTCTAGAGGAGGCTTGAGAGAGCTGCTGGAGGAGTCCTCAGACAGGCTGGTGACATCTGACCGGGCCTGCAGCTCTTCGCTCTGCTGCCAGCATGTCAGCATCTTGGGGGAGAGGAGGGGTGGTTGCTTTGGGGATCTCAGAACAGGACAGGCGTCTGCCTGCCTCCCCAGTTCCTCTCAAGCTGTGTAGCTCTGCTCCATGAAGTACTCGGAAGTCACCAAGCTCAGCCCCTCCAGGAGCGTAAAGGCAGACCTGAGTGTCCTCCAGGCTGGTCCGGCCCCTTCCACACTCAGTCCACACTGCGTTCTGAGGCACTCTCCTGTACCTCTGGGGCACCATGACCCTAACCTTCTTGTAGACCCAGGCAGAGGACCGCACCGTGCAGGCTGCCTGTCCTTCGGGGCGTCAGTATTTCCTGGCAGAGGCCCCTACGCAGGGATTTCCACCACAGCGTGGCAGCGTGGGAATTACGGTGTGGGTGGTTGGGACGGATGCGGTGGGGATCGTGTACCCCCTGCGAGCTGTTCCTGGCACCCCGCCCCGCCCCAGCGGCCAGTGCCTCCCTCCCCAGATTCTGACATTGCTGTGTTTGACTCATGGGAACCAGGGGACAAGTCTGGCCATTTCTTCTCTGCAGTCCCTAGGGTGAATTTGGTGTCCGATATGCATTGGCACTCAACAACATCCAAGAAAGGTGAAATGCAAGGATTCACTCACGTAGGCCCTGCTGGTTGGGTCGGTCTGGTGGCCTCGGTGTTCAGAGGCTTTGTGTTAGTTTCTGCTGACCAGTCATGAAGCCACTGATTCCCATTGGGTGCCATCTTGTCTTTTTGTTGTTGTTGGTGGTGGTCTTGGTGCTTGGGCCTGGGTGCTGTCCCTGAGCTATTCAGCTCAAGGCAAGCGTTCTACCACTTGAGCCACAGCGGCACTTTTGGTTTTCTGGTGGTTTATTGAAGATAAAGAGTCTCACAGACTTTCCTGCCCTGGCTGGCTTTGAACTGCGATCCTCAGATCTCAGCCTCCTGAGTAGCTGGGATGACAGGGGTGAGCTGCCAACTCCTGGCCATCTCGTCTTGTGTTCAGGCAAAGCCCGCCGGCTCACCACCGCAGACCCCATTTGCTCAGGAGGAGGTTGTACAGATTTTGGCCACACGGGTGTATCTGCTGTTGCCCATCGTAAGAAACCTGGGTCATCGGCCACGACTCATTTGTGGTTGGGGTCATCTCTGTTGTTCCTGAGCTCCCTGAGGTCAGGGGTTGTGAGACACACAGCTAGGCAGCCTGGGAAGTACGGTGTGGCTTCCGGTCTTACCATCCCCGTGATGGGGCCTTTTGTGTCTACAGGAGACACGCTGTGCCGGGATCTTGGGAAGTGGGTCTGATGGCATTACAGGAGATGTGGCTGGCTGCCTTCAAGCAGGGGGAGGGGATATGGTTTGGGTAGCAGCTGAGGTCAGAGCTAGCTCAGGGGAGAACTGGCGGGGCTCCCCCACGGAGAGCTGGAGGGTGCTGGGGGTCCCTGCCCACACCACACGCCCAGAAGAGTGTCTTGGGGTGAGGCTGGAGGTGGGGGGGGCTGAGGAGGCACAGCTGGGTGCCCTGCCTGGGGGGGGGGGGGGGGAGGAGAGCGCGGAGCTGGGGCCCATGGCTCCCGGGGAGTGCAGAGCTCTGGCCTCCTGCCCAGTGCTCATCAGCCAGCTGTGAGACACAGCCAGCAGAGACGCTGGATGGACCAACACCCTAAAGCAGGGGAAGGGGAAGGCGGGGGAGAATACAGGGGAGAAGGCCAGGGAAGGAAGAGGCGGCGGAGGGAATGGGGGCCTGAGTAGGAGCCAGGTCCTGGGAGGGGGCTGCGGGGGGTGGGGAGGGGGAGGGCAGAGACCGCCCACCCCTGGTGGCTGCTCCTTTCTCCACCAGGAAATCTGAGAAGTGCAGGGCTCAGCACTTTCGCCTCTGAGCTGCATTACAACCACATAATTGAAGCTATCTGATTGGAGGTCAGCCAAGCAGGTAGATTACAAGTGATTAGGAATGATAGGAGGGCCTGCAATCCGAGACAGCACTGCTGCCTCCTGACCGCCCACCCCAGCTTGCCCCCCCAGAGACCCCAGGCAGGCCCAAGCCTCCGGGCCTGCCTGCCTCCCTCCCCTTCCATTAACAGGTCACTGGCAGCTGAGGGCGTACCCCCCCCCCCCCCCGCCATGAAGCTGGGGACAGTTGCCCCTCTCCTCTGTGGTACACCTGCTGACACTGACACCAAAGTATCAAATCCAGGAGGGTCCAGGACCCTGGACCAGGCTCCAGTGTTGAGGCCTCCCACCCTCCGGAGGCCCGCCCAGCCTCCCGGGGGCCACCTGCCCCTCCCTGGGGCTCCTGGGGTGTCAGGGGGCCCCTTACCGGCACTGTCTGGGTGGCGGCGATGGGCTGTGTGCTGGCCTCGGTGCCGGGCTGCTCGGGGTGCGTCTGTGCTGGTGTGTACAGGGTCATGCCGTGCTCAGCGGGGACGGGGGTCTGGCCCGCGTAGTCCTGCGTGGGGTGTGGCGGGGGCGGGGCGTACTCGGCAGGGATGCCGTTCTGAGGGGGAGGGGGGTACTGGGCGGGGGGGTAGGGCTGGGCCATTGCTTCAGGTGGAGCCGTGGCGTCCTGATTGCCCTGCAGAGGAAGAGAGAGCAAAGCCTGCTTACAGTCCGGTCCCTTCCCAGAGCCCGAGGGGCGGATGGATGGACAGATAGGTGGATGAAGGGACAGTTAGCGCCTTTCGGGTCTGCAGAGGTTCTTCCAGAAGCTTCTTTGGCTCTCCACTCAGTACGTTCATTGGCGTTTTCCAAGTCCCCTGGATGGAGCTCTTCCAGTGGGGACCTTGGCTCAGAGCTGGGGCTGGAGTGGGGCTGGGGGGGGGGGTGACACTTCCCCGTGTGGAACCACTTGTACTTTTCACAGCTGGGTACGCAGGCTTGGGTTATTTTTCTTTCTTTAAACTCACCTAATGTTTAGAAACGGATTACTTTGTTACATGTTGAGCCACCTGTGTCTCAGCATTGACACAGGGATCCCCACTGTCTTCGACCGGGTGGCCCCAACAGTCACGTCTCACAGAACCACAGCCACCAGACAATGGCGCCTGTGCTCTTCTCCCAGAGGGAGAACCCTGCCAACCCACCTCCGCCGTGTCACCATTTCAAACCTCGCTTTCTCCGGGGGAGGCGGGAGTGACAGGAGGGTCTAGGACCAGCTTTGGGTTCATTACAGGCTACCGTGCAGAAGCCGGACACAGCAGCCCCCCCCCCCCCCCCGTATCCTCACTGGGTGAGCCTCATGGGGCCTGGGGACTGGCTGAGCACTCCTCAGACACAGATCCCCACTGCTCTGGGACCTCTGAGGAGTCCCCTCTCCCCTGCAGTGTGCTGATAGCCAGTGCTCCTCAAAGCGGGGTGCCCGGGCACAGGGTCAGCATCCATCACCCCGAGAACTTGAGACGCACATCTCAGCCCCATCATGATGAAGATTTAGGGCATGTGAACAGCTCTGTGGGCGGCCTGTCCATTCTGAGATCAGGCCTGGGGCTTTCATGCTATCAGAGAACCTGGCACAGGGAGAAATGGGGTGAGTGGGTCCCTGGCTTACCGACTCAGTCTCTCACTGCAGACACACCTGGCCCCTCTGTGCGAGGCCCCCCATCCCGAGTGTGAAGGGAAGGAGAGGTCGTTCACCCGAAAAGCAGGGGGCCCCCTCCCTCAGCAGCCCCCCTCTAAGCGGAAGGGCCTCAACATAGCCTGGAGACCCTGTTCCAGATGGCAGCAGCCCGGATGTAGTTCAGAGTGACGGCACTCTGCGCTCCAAGGGGCCTGTGTACCATCACAGGGCCGGGTGCTCTGCCCCACCGTGTCTGCCTGGCCACCAGCCCCGCCCTGCTCCCCAAAGCCCCCAGTGCTGGCCACCTTGGGTTGGGTGAGACAGGTGGGTAGCTTCAGGTGCAGAGATTCCACCTTCTTCCTTCTCCGTCCCCTTCCACCTGCTTAGCAAAACCATCAGGTCCCTTGGCTTTCTGCAGAAACTGAAACTGGGTGGTAGGGAGCTCTCTCTCTCTCTCATATACATACTCATGGATGTACGTCTTCTCTAGATGCTCCTGCCTCATTGGTCCTCAGTACCCCAGGAAGGTCTATCAGGGTAGGGAACCTCGCATCATCCCGGCTGGCCAAGAGGGAGCGAGGGATGGAGCTCACAGAGGAAGATGTTCCAAGGTACAGTGAGGGAAGGGCCTGTCAAGGGTTCTTGCAGAGGGAGATCGATTCCCAGTAAATATTTGATGGGTGTCTTCACTAACCTATCCCAGCTTCTCAGCGCTGCCCTGCACCTCTAAGACCAGAGAAAAGGAGATGCCTTACCTTCACCTGTCTGTTCTTCACCCTACCCTACCCTCCTCTCCTGTCTTCCCTCCCTGGTCCCACTCGGGGCTGTCAACCCTGCCTACTGTGAGGTGTCTCACGGCTGGAACCTGGAGCTCAGAGCAAAAGGACACATGAAGGGGCTGCTGGGTGGGGTCTTGGGCAGGTGTACCCAGGCCTGGGGAGGGGGAGACAGGAGGCATCCCCAGACGGAGATGTCTCCGGGACCCTGGGGCACTGTAATAAAAGCAGCACATCAGAGCACAAGGCACTCTGTGCTGAGGACGTGAACTCACTCTGCCATCCCAGAAGGCAGATACTTCCTTCTCCACCTCACAGCTAATCAGACTGGCCCAGAGGCCATTTGACTGGTTAGGACAGGAGAGGACCAGACAGCAGCGCAGTCACCTGGCTCTGCACCCCACGCCATCACGTGCCATGCAGAACCGCAGCTCTCCCTAGAGGGCCCCGAGATGAAGGACAGTCTAAACCCTGGGGCACACAGAGATGGGCACCAACCCTCCCACTACACCCCCAGGCCACCAGGTGGCCCTGGTCACCAACTGTCCTCCTCACAGGCCTCCCTGCTGGCAAAGGGCACCCTGGCTGAGGGAGCACAGAATGAAGCTGGCCTTGCTTATGTCTTGGCGGGTCCTGAGGTGATTCCTGATGTCCCTGCTCCCTTTCCCACCCGCCATGCTGGAGGTGGCTTTGCCCCCACCCTCACCCCACTGAATACTGAAACCACCTGAGGTGCTGGTCTGTCCACCTCTCCAGCTGCCCCCTAGAACTACTGAGACACCAGACAACTTAAGCTCTTCCCGGGAGATTCTGGCCTGTGGCCTTGATGAAGATCCAAGGGAGAAGTGGGCTCCGCCAGGCCCACTCAAAACCCTGCAAATGCCCCCCCCCCCCCCAAGCCGAGCTCCAGTGTCTGTCCCTGGTTGCTTCCTTCTTCCTAGGTCAGGGCCACCACCACCGCCACCAATGTCAGCCTGAGGCTTGGGCCACAGGGCTTGGGGCTGAAAAGTTTCTTCCATATGAAGGGTGACAGCTTCCAAAAGCATCCGGTGACCCCACATACTTGTGTACACATGAGAATCTGAATGTACACACATGTATGGACAGATGTGTGAGTGGGCTGGTGGAAGGATGGATGTAAGAACGGGTAAGTAGGTGAACAGATGGGAGGTGGAGAGGTGGCCAAGCTAGAGGATCACAGCTGTTGGGACTCTTCCTCTAACTGCCCCTCTCTCATGCCCTTCTAAGTTGGGACTCTCTTCCTCTAACTGACCATTTCTCGTGCCCTTCTAAGTCGGGACTCTCTTCCTCTAACTGACCATTTCTCACGCCTTTCTAAGTCGGGACCCTCTTCCTCTAACTGACCATTTCTCACGCCTTTCTAAGTCGGGACTTTTCCTCTAACTGCCCCTCTCTCACACCTTTCGTTTGCCTGGAGCATTCGATGGGATCCCGTTCTGCCTGGTCCACAGTGAAAACCACAGATTCACCCCATGTGGATCCAGTTGGCCTGCACACTCCCAGAGGCGTCTCCCTCTTCCCCCTCAGCCTCCCAATGTCCTCATTCTTACTCTTGGTGATGACTGCGCAGAAAATAGCAGAGAACATTCACACTCACCAGCCCACCTCCTACACGGTGCTCTGCCATCCCTCCCGTCCTCAAGGATGGCCGTTGGTGCTCCCACGCACAACCACCTCAACCCCGGATGGGAACCAAGCCCTCCTCACACAGCCTGCTCCCAGTTCTAACCCTTTACTGTGGGATCCAGTGCCGTCACCTGCTGATGTAGACAGCGCCACACCGGGAGCCCACAGCAACTTTGTCCTCCAAGTGCAACCCCCAGCTGCTTTTTAGGGCAAAGCTTCCCTATTCCTGCAGGCCTCGGGTCTTTTGTTCCCATTCTCCGTCGGTCCCTGCAAGCCAGCTTTTCTTGGTGCTATTCCCTGAGAGCACACTTCTCATGCCAGCCATATTGAAAATCCAATGGCCAGTTTGTAGTCTAGATCCGACCTGGACCTGCAGCAGCCTGGGGGATGTGGTGACAATGGCACCTCTCTCCAGAAACATTTTCTTTTCTTGCCTTTCTCACTCTCTGTTGGTTCCCTTGTTTTACTGGAAATGTCTTCTAAGTCTTTGTTCCTGGTTCTGGTGCCACCACTTTCCACCCTCTGCACGTTGATGGGCCCGGGTCTCTGTCCTTGGTCTTCTCTCCTCTGGCTGCACTCACTGGGCTTCTTTAGTGCCATTCAGATGGTATTTAAGGTACTATTGATATGTTAACAACCCTGAGTTACACCTTCACCGGTCTTCTCCCCAGAATTCTCTCCTCCCTTCCGCAGGCTCCGCCTGGATGTCTAATACATCTCTCAAGCTTGAGGATGCTCTAAAGGGACCCCTGCTTTCCCCATTGTCTCAGCAGACCTTCCTCTCAAGGCCTTCTCCATCCCAGCATGCACGTCCCCCTCCTGTCCCCTGGCAGTGCAGCACTGTCTACCCATGTGGGTCACCTGAAACTGCTCTTCCGGCACACAAGACTCCAAACCCCTGGCACCCAGAGTAGCTCATGCTGCTAATGAGGGAATGAAGGCCAGGGCAGGGGAAGAAAGGACAAGCCCTTGTGGGAGTGGTCTGTGGCTGAGCCTCGAGATCTCCCCCTGGCCTGGAAGGCTGGCTCAGGCAGCCCTCACTGTTCAGGCAAGGAAGCCGAGGCTTGGGGCCAGTTCCAGGCAGCCTGCATCCCGAGGGTGTTCACCAGATACGGTCAACAGACACCCTGTGTAAAACTACTTTTCTTCCATGGAGCAGATACGAGAATCATGATTTTTATAGGGACCCAGGGCCACACAGCAGGGGCCCATGAGAGCCCCTAAAGAGTCTGAAGGTGGAGCTGGGTGGCCTGCCGTGGTGAGCCCAGGCTGGCACATTACAGCCAAATGGGAACACCTCTGACCCCTGCTGGAGAGTGACCTGCTAGCTAGACCCCCCCTTCCCCATGTTAACAGTGCAGGAAGTGACAAAGGCTTCACATGGGGGCTGGGCTTGTGCCAGGACAGGATCACTTCAGGACTGACCTGGGGGCCTGATGTGGGGCAGACAGATGTGCTGGCCAGGGTGGCTTGCAGTCTGTGAGCTCGACATTTTGAACTTGGGCTAGACTCCAGCAGAGTTCCACCTCTGCCGTATGACCAGGGATGGTATAGTCTGTGCCCTGGCTGGACCTGCCCCTGTGGAGCTGCTAT